TAGATAGATATAGATAGATGAGAGATAGATAGATAGATAGATAGATAGATAGATAGATAGATAGATAGATAGATAGATAGATAGATAAACAGCCAAAGCTACACAGAGAAACCTGTCTCAGATATAGATAGATATATAGATAGATAGACAGACAGATGATAGATGATAGATAGATAGATAGATAGATAGATAGATAGATAGATAGATAGATAGATAGATAGACAGCCAAAGATACACAGAGAAACCTGTCTGTGATAGATAGATAGATACATAGATAGATAGATACATAGATAGATAGACAGACAGATAGATGACAGATAGATAAACAGCCAAAGATACACAGACAAACCTGTCTCAGATAGATGATTGATAGATAGATAGATAGATAGATAGATAGATAGATAGATAGATAGATAGATGATAGATAGATAAACAGCCAAAGCTACACAGAGAAACCTGTCTCAAAAAATGAATGAATGAATGAATGAATGAATGAATGAATGAATGAATGAATGAATGAATGAATGAAAAGAAACATATAGACAGACCTGCACAAGTCTGGCCCTTGACTGGCACCTACCACTTAGTTGGAGGGAACTTCCCAACACTCCAACATGGCTTGTATGTCTACACAGTACAAACCATGTCATTCAGAGTGAGTATCTGCTTTCCTCCTGGGACTCTAGGATTTGGGTGTGTGTCCGATAGAGGGTGTCTAGGTGACCTACTTTCCAAGAAGGGCCTCAGGGACTAGGTCGCTACAAGTTCCCCCAAAACAGTATATCCTGTGTGTTGCCACACTCTGACCCTGGGGACTCAACTCTCTCCTCTCGCTCTAGTGAGCGAGCGGTTCTGGAAGCCGAAGCCAGCTGTCGCTACCCTCTCTTCCTGTCCCTTTGTCTTTGTTGATTTTGCTCTGTGTTATTTCACTGTAATAAGTCACAGTCACTATGCACTCCGTCCTCGTGAACCAGCAAGGCAGCGGCGGTCTCGGGCACCAGAGCACAGCAGCACATAAGCAAGCCCTTTTAACTTCGCCCGCGGAGAAAGTAGGATGGTGCCTGTCTGTGGTCAGGACAGGGAAGTGAATATTTCCTTCGCATGTTATGCACATCATAAAATGAAGCAGTCCACTGCCATTATGTCCAGTTCCTTCCAACGACTGCACTTCTGTGTGTCTGTGTGAGTGTGTGTGAGTGTATGGTAAACACAAGTGCAGAAGAAGGAAGGCAGGGCATTGGATCCCTTGGAACTGGAGTTACAAGCAGTTGTAAGCCACCCAAGGTGCAGGGATGTGGATTTGGATCCTCTAGAAGAGCAGCAAGTGCTCTTAACCACTGAGCCATCTTTCCAGACCCCCACTCTCCACTCCCCACTCCCCGACTACCAATTTCCTTCTTAAGACAGCAGAATCCTGCAGATTCAAGTTAAGAGACTGCAGGCCAGAGGCTTCCCTCCCCGTGCCCAGGGTGAGCATCTCTCTCCGTAGCTCAGCTGCTCATCACAACACAGGAGACAGATGCGTTGTTTGAGACCGGCCCCAGAGGCTTGTTATTGAATTGTAAATACGCGCACATTCTGTTTACACGGAAATGCTTTAACTAGAACACAAGCAGCCAAGAGCAAAGACAAACAAACCTACCGTAATTTCCAGCGGCTGAGTCTGACTTCTCAATGTGAATACTCTGGGTGACTTTGGGGCAGATTTCAATTTCTTTGTAAAGCTGCAAATTACAGAGAGGAGGCTAATTAGGACCCCATCCATCACAAATAGCTTCTTAGGATTGGTCAGCATTTTGTTAATCTATTTTTTTTCATAACTGATACCTGAACAAAAATACATATTACATCAGTCTTTTTTTTTTTTTAATGCTGTAACCTATTGAGAGTTATAACGGAAACTTAGAATTCTCATCACCAAGTTCAGCTACAGTATGGATTCTAACCCATCCTCTCCCCCGACACACATACCACTCCAGGTAACACCCTAAATTCATCATAGACCTGAAAAATAATGCCTCAGTCATTAAACCCTCCAGTGCTTGGGTAAGGGATTGATCGAAATTAAACAGTGGTTATGAATGTGTTGAGTGAGATTCCTCAAATTACAGGGCACCTCTGTGCTGCCCCATAGTACTTACACACGAAACATCCACAGTAGGATGAACTGGTAGAGATGGACGTTGATACTGAAACAAATGTGTGGATGGACAAGATTCTTCAGTAGCCACTAAACTAACTATACAAAATAGGCTAGAAAATTAAGTACACAAATCAGTCCACTGTCTAGTACCCCAACACTGTCTGTATGTAGTGTGTTTCTGTACACACTCAAGATTGAAATAGTGTATAGCTCGCACCTCAGAAACAGTGTTGAAATCAACTGATGTTATGGTTTCATCTGTCTGGACCTAACCTCATACAACGTGAATTTTCAACTATGTGGCTTTTCACCCCATACTGGGACAATCACGATCTCCATTTTACAAATAGGGGGGCTAAGGCTGGTGAGATAGCAATAAGTTGGTACATCCAGGGTAGGCAGGGCAGGATCTGAGCCCAGTCTTACAACCCCCAGAGATATAGCTCTCTTTGCCCTATAATGTGACTCTCAGGCCAACCTATGAAACCCAAAAAGGCCCAAGGTCAGGAGAGTGAACCTTCTTCGGAAAAAAAAAAAAACCTAAAGCTGAAATCCAAATTTGAAAACAAAAGAGCAAAAGCAAATGCAAACTGTTATTGGATCTCGAAATGAAAATCAATCTCAAGCCACAGAATTGAACAGACACTTCATTCTGTAGTACTGAAGAAGTCCTTGCTGATGGCTGCCCCTGCCCCATCTCTCCAACATGTCAGTTTATTCAGGCAAGAAGAAGAGAATACAAGTTACCTCCTCAGTGTCCCCTGACACCGCAGGATGGGGGTTAGAGTTAGGAACGTTAGCGGTACAGCCTGGGTGCGAGGGGGTCTAACTCAATATGATTTTATGTAGATACTTAGAAATGTCTCACAAAATGTAATTGTCCAGTTGGAAGACTTCAGGGATAGTGATTTTATGATCAGAAAACACAGTCACCAAAATGACAACTATGGAATGACTTCAATAATGAGCTTACAAAGACCTAGCAGGACAGCACAGTGAGCCATACAGCCTTACCCACTGTTCGTCTCTGCTTAGGTGAGCCCTGGGAGAGGGAGCATTCTCAAATATGTGTGATTGCCAATCCTTCCCGCCAGGTGGCAGCATGTAACTACTGCTCTACCCATCTCTGCGAACACCCAGCGGGAATACACTTGTGCAGCGTGTCTCCTCTTTCTGCTGCTCTCTGAGGACAGCTCAGTGCAGTATACACGGGCCTCGGAGCCGCACGATCACTCGTGCTGACTCAGACTGAGGCCAGATTGAGCCAAAAAAAAAAAAAAAAAACCACTCATTAAATACAGGAAATTTCAAGAACGTGTTGTGTCTTAAGATGTTGCTCTGAAACCACAGTATTTGGAGCTAGGAAATTTGAAATCTGGTTGCTTTATGCACAAATAAGTGGCACATATATTAAATCACCTCCATTTCATTAAACTGATGAAATTGCATCTCCCCTACTCTGTTCAAAAACTGGGTGAAAGATCATCAGATTTTAACACTGCTTTCAATAAGCGGGCACTTGGGTCTCACAAAATCATGTCCCATCTCCCTGTCTCCTCTGGGTGCCCCAGCCTAAGCCACCATGGCTGCCCATCTCAGCCACAGTGTCCTGGCCTGCAGAGGTTCTGTGTGCCCATATCCTGTATGGTCCATCGGCCGTACACCACCCTCAAGGAGCCTGTAACAGAAGAGGTCACCTATTGTCATTACTAAATATAGGGCTGGTTCCAGGGCCCGTATGACCCCAGAATACCCAAACCCCTGCACATTCAGCTCTCCTATGGAAAACAGTATTTTCATAAAATCTATGCTCACTAGCTCATACGTACTTCAGACTGCATTTGATACCTAATAAAATAAAGGATTGTTTTCGGATTGGGAATAAGGGCCCAGGAAGTCTACACATGCTCAGTAGAGTCATGGCCATCAACTGTACATTGGACTGTATATATTATATATCATAAAGAAGTAACAATTGGGAGGGTTTTTTTTCCCTTTTGTTTTCAAACACTGTCAATCTACAGCTTGATGACTCCACAGATGTAGAAGGCCACATGTGAGGTCCTTTTTCTCCTGGGGTTCCCTTCTCCTCTGGACTCCTATCTACACAGCCTCCCTGTTCCTCTCTAACTTCATGTCTGGCACCACGTCTTTTGTCTGTTTGTTTTACCCTCCTGGCATGGCACAGCCTCCCTACCTCCTGGGTGACTTCCTCCCTACCTCAGGCTGGGTCAGTTTGTCACCTACTAATGCAGATGCATGGGCATGCATGTGCCTGCACACATGCATGTGAGGGCCAGGGATCGGTGTCAGGTGTGTGTGCACATGCATGTGGAGGTCAGGGATCGGTGTCATGTGCCTGCACACATGCATGTGGAGGTCAGGGATTAGTGTCAGGTGTGTGTGCACATGCATGTGGAGGTCAGGGATCGGTGTCAGGTGTGTGTGCACGTGCATGTGGAGGTCAGGGATCGGTGGCAGGTGTGTGCACATGCATGTGGAGGTCAGGGATCGGTGGCAGGTGTGTGCACATGCATGTGGAGGTCAGGGATCAGTGTCATGTGTGTGTAGCCAGCACTCTAAGGACCCTCCTGTCTCTCCCTGCGCTGGATCACGGCTGCACACCACTGCACCCCCTTTTGCAGGGGTGCTGAGGTTTAACTCTGGAGCTCACGTGCGTGTGTCCAGAATTTTACCAACAGACCCTTCTCCCCAGACCCGTCTCCTCCCCTTGAGACACTTTCTGCAGAGCATACCTAAGACTCACACCCTCACTCTTCCCGCCTCCCATTCCAACGGTACAGCTAAGCACACAGCACCACACCTCGGTCTGCCCCTCACTTCTTTCTCTCCCAAGCCTCACAACCCGCTGATGGTGCCGAGTTTAAATGCGTGCCTGCAAACCTGAACAGAGGCTCCTCCAGAAACAGAATTCCTTTTCTCTTTGGCACATACCCCATGAGAATTAGAGATTATGCCAGGCACAAAAAATGCTAAGTAAATATTTGCTGGATGAATGAAGAAATAAATTAATCAATTTTGCCTGCACATTTTATTCCCCCATCACTTGAATAAGAACTCATTTAGTGTGAGATCTGAAAGGTAGTGTCTCTACAGACTGCACCCCGGGTTTGTGACCATTCCATGGATTGGTCCCAACATATTTCACGAGAAAATAGCCAAACGGGTAACATTTACATGAATATAATCGGGAATGCAGACAGACAATAACTAGCAGTAGATATTCACATGCAAGAGAACTCCCTGCCCACTAACATGAACATTCATCACCCGCCAAGAAGATCTCAAGCCCAGGACTCACTGTTCTGCTGCTGATGGCATAGAATTAAGTATTTGGGGCGGGGTGGGGGGAGCATGTGTGAGAACACGGTTCCTGCAGAACACTGGCATCAGCGTGCAGATGAAGGACCAAAGCTAATTAACACTGTGTGGACTGCTGCTTGTTCAGAAAGGGACAAGACATCCAATAAGCTCTCAAAAAGCCACCAGGAACATTACTCAGAGGGGCTCTGCCTGGGATGAAACCACATCCAGATGAATGAGCTAAAGCAGAGATCCAAAACCCGGGACCCACTGAGAGGATTCCAGGGGTCGCGAACTTAGGGAAAAAAGTAAAAATTACCCAGAATATTTGTAAAAAAGCAACATCTTCAATGATCAGGAATGCACATGGGCAACACACACAGCAATCCTAAGGGTGCCTGTGCCTTTATCATGAATAGAAGTTATCTCAGCATCATATTCTAGTTGGTACTAACAGCTCCCAATATCGTTTATACTTGCCACTACTTCCCGAGTACTGGTAGTCACTATACCTACTCCCAGGTCTTAGAATTTAGTGAGCTAGTAACACGCTATCCGTCATTTAAAGTGGATTTTTGCTCAGTATCTTGTTATAACTAAGCCATGGGGAAGTCCATACATATCCCGTCTTGTGCAACTACAAGCACTGCTCTGGGCAGGGGTCTGGAAGCCTTGTCAGACACCAAGCTGCCCAGAGCACAGAAGCTTAGAGAACTTGGTAAGATGGAGGTGTTGGTGTAGGCAAGACCGTGCCAACTGCTTCCTTGGGGAAATCTCGGGGCCAGAGACTTCTGCAAAGGGGGGAGAGAGAACCCAACGGTCTCTTTGCACTTTAGAGTTGTTTTTTTTTTTTAAATTCTGACATGGACATAACAATTACAGGCCCAAACAGACTGAACTTAGCACTTCATCACCCCACTGGATAAGACCACACAATATCCAAAGCTTAAAAACGACATTGGAGGAGGGCTGGAGAGGGGGGTCGGTGGTTAAGACCACTGGCTGCTCTTGTAGAGGACCTGGGTTCAGTTCCCGGCACCCACGCGCCAGCTCACAACCATCTGTAACTCCGGTTCCAGGGAGATGTGTCTCCTTCTGGCTCCTTTAGGTTCCAGGCATGTACATGGTGCACACATACATAAAACACTCACATACATAAAATAATAAAATAAAAAGATTTAAAACCATAACATACGAGTAATAAAAATTTTGAGGTCGTGGCTCAAAGTGGCACACGTGCCTGGCATACACAGGCACTGACGATGGCTGCCTAGGAGCCCCGCGATGTATGGTACGCAAAACTCACAAGTCGTAAGGCATAAACTGAACTATGTCCGTGTTATCAGCTTAGCCTCTTTCAATCGTCTCTTCTCTCAGAGTTTTTAGATCACATAGTTCCAGGTTATGCCCCAAGCCGATCTGAAATCCACTGTGTAGCCAAGGCTGGCCCCAAACCTTCACTCTCAGTCCATTGCCCAAGTCTCTCCAGTGCTTAAGTTACAGATGTTCACCACACCACACACAGCTTGCTATGCTGTTCTCCAGGCTAGCCTTGAACTCCCGGGGGCCAGGTAATCCTCCTTCCTCAGCCTCCTAAGTACTTCTTTCCTTCTTAAGTAAGGAAAGGACTCTCACATAGAGTTCGTTCACAGGACACAAGCAGTGGCTATTCTCTACTTCTCAGAAGGGACACCTCGGCCCCTCACTGCTGAGTGACCTCCTCCATCGACCTGGTCAACAGTGGCTTAGAGGGGACTAATCACTTCGGTCCTTTTCCCTTTTTTCTCAATATTATTTATATATATACATATATGTGTGTATATATAGGTATATATGAATAAATATATATGTGACTGTTTTGCCTGCAAGTATGTCTTTGTACCACATGTGTGCAGTGACTACAGAGGCCAGAAGAGGGCACCCGATACTCCAGAACCATAATTATGGATGGTTGTGTGCTATCATGAGAGTACTGAGAACCCACGGTCAGTTCCTCTACAAACAGTCGGTGTTCTTTTTTTTGGTTTTTCGAGACAGGGTTTCTCTGTGTAGCTTTGGCACCTTTCCTGGAACTCACTCTGTAGCCCAGGCTGGCCTCGAACTCACAGAGCTCCGCCTGCCTCTGTCTCCCTAGTGCTGGGATTAAAGGTGTGCGCCACCACCACCCAGCTTGCAGTCAGTGTTCTTAACCACAGAACCACCCACCCTTCCAGGCCCATCTTGATCCTTTTCCAACCCTTCCAGGCCCATCTTGACCCTTTTCCAACATATAACGCGACAGACTGTTACAGAAGTACAGTCTCACATTTCCTTAGAAACATTTAAAGGGATCTGAGGTGACCTTCTGTAGAGGTTGGCAGAAACATTCCAAATCATAACTGATGCAGTGAAAATGTAATTGTACATATTTGTCAAAGCCCTTTAAACTGTGTGCTTAACACTGGTGAGTGTTTCCTAATATAAGAAGTACAGTTCAAAAAGTTGATCTGAAACAGCATTTCCTAATGAAATTCTACACCGAGGTTCCCCTTTCCAAAGGAAACCTCTGGGCTGCACTTCTGCTTTCTGTGGTAAGGCCCTACCCTGTTTTCATGCCCATATCCACAACAAGCAGCTCCGGGGCCCCAGAAGGATGACTAAGAACCAAGAGGCCGGAACATTCACCAAGGCAGGCTTGGGGCATGTCATCAGATGGCCAGGGTGGTTGTGGGTGTTTTGTTTAACACCCGCAAGATTTAACCCATCCGTTTTCATAAGAACGTGGAAGGCGCACAGAACTGGAGCGCGCGCGTGCTCTTATTTTGACAAGTGCCAACTGATCTTAGAGTCACCAATTAAAAATAGAAGTCTGCAGGAAGAGTTGCCTGAGGAGTACCTGCGGGTCTCCGCGCCCTGTGCGACGGAGCAGCCCTGCTCCCTGGACGAGCAAAGGCAACTCCACTCTGGGGTGTCTGAGATGCGTGGTTATTTCTGCCAGCTTTGGAGCTCTGAAGGAAGCTCCCTCATTTCAGAACCCGTTCCACCCCACCAGCTACAATTACCACAAGTACATGCATAATTTGAAAATCATCTCAAATGGAATGTACGTGGACAGCGGTCATAAACATTACCAGCTCGTAAATGTCCTCCTCGGGCTGTGGAATGTAGACCTGCATCTTGTTCTCCATTAGAAATTTCAGGCGCAGGTAATGAGCGGAATGATCCAGCTGATGTGCCTGGGATGGAAGGAAGGAAAATGTCTGTTTAGTAGTAAAGAGGAGAGATTACTTCTCCAAGGACGTGGGACTGTTACCTTGTTTCCTAAGGACAATAGAGATGGGGTGTGTGGTGGGATCCTATCCTTAAAAGGGTAGAACACAAATCAGACCTGGAACTCATTAATAATAATAATTCCACGGGGATCATGCAATTCAATGCAGAAAACTGAATCACGGCCTCTTTTCCATGTATTTGATTAATTGCGCTCTGTAACACTGGTTTTTCCAACAAAATCTATGTTACATTAAAGAAGCCCTTGAATATAACTACACACACACACACACACACACACACACACACACACACACACACACACACACGGTAACAAGAGAGGGGGAGGAAGCATTCACAATGAGAGAAAAAGGCTGTGCCCCAGGAAATTTGGGGCCCCCAGGACAGGTGTTAGCAGCTCACTGCAAGCAAGTTAGCATGCACGCAAAGCATTTGAATTCCAGTCTTACTTCTATATACCAGAACGGGATCATACTTATGTATTCCAGAACGGGATCGTACTTATGTATTCCAGAACGGGATCGTACTTATATATTCCAGAATGGGACTTCCCCCAGGGGCAGTGCAAGCGCCTCCAACCTGGGAAGCACACACATGACTTGGGAATTAGTGTTCCCAGGGCCATTTCTTTGTCTAGGATAGGTCAAAGGATCTACTCTACCTGAAAAGCCGTTTTTGAATTCATTTTGATTATAAAAGATACCACCATAATATGGTTTTATAAATACTTCTCAGTACACAAAAAGGAGGCATATGAAAAAAAAAAAATGCTTTTCAAATGTTACAAGATGCCAGGCAGTAGTGGTGCACGCCTTTAATTCCAGTACTCAAAAAGGAGGCAGAGGCAGATAAATTTCTGTGAGTTCAAGGCTAGCCTGGTCTACAGAGCGAATTCCAGGACAGCCAGGGCTACACAGAGAAATCCTGTCTAGAAAAAAAACAAAAACAAAACAAACAAAAAAACCATCAAATGCTACAAGACACCATGAAGTTATACTGCAATAAATGAAATATTTAAATGGGTACTTTTAATTGTAAAGTGCCCTTATCACTTAAAAATACACCCTAAAATACTATCAAGTAAATGATAAGCTTTTAGAATTTGTTTCCAAAGTAATCCACACTTAAAAGGTGGAATCGGTAAACCTTAACATTATATATTCTATGCAATGGGTACATGGGAATTTATTATGTGGATCTTATTTTTACATGAATTTGAAATTGCTCAAATTTTCAAAATAAAATTTCAATTTTATATAAAGTATGTGATTAAAATATCTCTCTTAGCCGGGCGGTGGTGGCGCACGCCTTTAATCCCAGCACTCGGGAGGCAGAGCCCGGCGGATCTCTGTGAGTTCGAGGCCAGCCTGGGCTACCAAGTGAGTTCCAGGAAAAGGCGCAAAGCTCCACAGAGAAACCCTGTCTCGAAAAACAAAAAAAAAACAAACAAACAAACAAAAAAAAATCTCTCAATGTAGGGTTTCTCTGTGAAGCCCTGGCTGTCCTGGAACTCACTCTGTAGCCCAGGCTGGCCTCAAACTCACAGAGATCCGTCTGCCTCTGCCTCCCAAGTGCTGGGATTAAAGGCGTGCGCCACCACAGCCGGCTGAGAATTACCCTTTAATAAGTGAAATTCATTTTAATTGGCAAATACTCCTACTCTATACTGTCAGTATAAATATAAACACAGAGACCACACTAATAGCATCCCAGTCATCATCCCCTTAACGTCCACTCCGTCACAGCTAGCACCGTGGGCAGTGTGCCGGCGGGCACTCCATGAAGCCGCAACGGTACAGACAGACACCAGTCCAGATCGCTGCAGGCCTCCGGAGTGTGCTCGGGTTTGGAGAATCCGTATGCGGGAAATGGGAGACAGAGGAGTGGTGGCTGTTTAATACATGCACGGAGGATGCTCAGGTACTACCACAAAAGCACATTTCCAGAAAGTGGACATGAGATCCCTGGGAGCACACAACAGAATGATAGAGACGTTTTCCTATCGCTGGTTCTTGGGTTTTAGTCCCACAGACTGTGACCTCTGAAGTCCACAGGGCAGAACAGACACTGGTTAGTGAATACATCCCTGGGCACCTGGCTTTCTTTCTCTATCTCTGAGACAGGATGCCTCCACCCAGGGCTCTCATGTCAGAGGTGAAGAAGGAAGATGGGTGAGCTGAGAGAACACACAACAGGAAAACCTTTAAGAGTGCTACCCACTGCTTGTGGGATACAAACAATAAAAAAACAGTAATAGGGTGATGGGACAAGAAAAGTCCCCTGTGTGCCTGGCTGGGGCAGGGGTGGGGGATGGGGGTAATGTCCGGGTCAGGGTTGGAGATGCTTCTCTCTGTCCCAGGTCCTCACAAAATCTTTAATTACAAGGAAACATCTTGTTTTGCCATCTGCTCCCTACTGAGGTGGAAAGGGAGGAGGATGGAGTTTCATGGGGTCTCAGTAACAGGAACAGAGCAGTTTGGACACCTACTGTCACCATTAATAAACACTTGTGGACAGTCCTAACCAGACTGTCCCTTCCACCGTCTGGACATCACAGCCAGTACTAACCTCACCCAAACCTCAGAGCGGCGCTCACCAGCCAGCTGTCAGGCACTATGAAACAGAACAGGGATCTCACCCTGCCCCAAACCCCACACTGCTGACATCTGGAATCGCACAGACAAGCGCCAGGTGGGGTTTAGTGATGTACAGAGAACACGGTTCGGGCTGCACATATTTTTCCAAATGTTTTTATATTACTCATTGTCCTGATAACTTTAAAAAGGTGAATACACACCACAACTGTGAAAAGGAGAGCGGGCTAGAGTGTTAGCACATGCCTACAATCCCTGCACCCTGGAGGTTAAGGCAGAAAAGTTTCAAGGTTGAGACCAGCCTGGCTCAAAATAAATAATACTTACATAGGCTTCATAAGAAATCTAAAGGCCTTTATGGTTGGTAAACAGTTATTCTAAAATCGGGACGTGGGAGATGAGTACTCCTATGGGTCCACCTATTTTGGTGAAAGTTTCAGAATCGTGAACCCACATAGCATGGCCAATCTAAAATGAAACACAGTCTTAAGAAGCTAATTAAGGGCTGGGGAGAAGGCTCCGAGGTTAAGAGCACTGGCTGCTTTTCCAGAGGACCCAGGTTCAATTCCCAGCACCCACATAGCAGCTGACAACCGTCTGTAACTCCAGTTCCAGGGGATCCAGCATCCTCACACAGACATACATGCAGGCAAAACACCGAGGCACATAAAATAAAAATAAATATTTTTTTTTAAAAGGAAGCTAATTAAATCCTCGGATTCTCATTATGAGCTTCAATATCAAAGCCGGTCAAAGTATCAACTGTGTTCGTAACATTTGTCCATGCAAGAAGAACTCCAGATGTTAGAGAATACTGAAAGGTGGGTGGCTGTTGAGCATCTGGCTGGTTTTGACTTTGTAAAACACTCAAGAGAAAATTTACTTGCAAGAGGAATTCCATTAGGGAAAAAATTAAGTCGTACAAATTTGTTTTCCTACGTACGTTTACTCATATCACTTAGCACTGTATCTGTTTTAAGGCAAGAAAGCTGGCTGTAAATTGTGCCATAAAATAAATATTACAACTGGGCAAGTTTTAGTTTAGTTGGCATTTTTTTTTTAAAGATTCAGATTTTACTCTAATTATTTCAAAGGATTAAGTAATGATGCAGATATTTTAAATAAATAGTTTGAGCATTTAAATACTTGAGAACTGGATTGGGGAAACACCTGAGTTGGCAAAGTGCTTGCCTTGCGAGCACAAGGACCTGAGTTCTTCTTCAGGAACCATGTCAAGCTGTCACCATGATCCCAGTGTTTGGGAGGGGGACAGGGTGATCCCTGGGGCTAGCTGGCCAGCCTGTCTAGTTTACTTGGCGAGGTCCAGGCCAATTGGAAACCCAATTGGAGGTGATTTGTGTTCCTGCAGATGGCACCCACAATTGTCCTTGTGCCCACACTTACAATGAACAGACACATACATACACATATAAAGATATTCAGTACAAGCATGTAGTAAAATTGACACCATGGTCACACATGAACAATATGACCAACTATGAAAGAATGGATCTTTTTTTGCAATTTTTTTTATAATTCCAATAATCTGAATATATTTTTTAAAAACCCTATAGGATGACAAGGTTATGGGCTACATCTAACAATCATTTCAGTATCTATGACAAGAAATGTGTATCTTGAAAAATTAACAATACCAGGACTTGACTGGTGATCGAGGGCAGATGGAAACTAGATGTGAAATGATGTGGATCAGAGAATAGGAAAGAAAATGAGCCAAGGCAAAAGACAGAAGAGAGAATTGATTAGATTTGAGGGACAGCATCCATGACCAACGACAATGAACTAAAAGACCCCCGTTCTTACGTCTCTGTTTTCCATCCCTTCCCCAGGAATCAAAACCCACTCACCACTGGATCATGTGACAACACATGGAAGCCCTCTCTTCCCTTTCCAGCCTTAAGAATAAAATTGCTCCACGAATTACTGAAGTCAAGAAGACATCTAGGTCTGAGCACACTATATACTTTATCCCATAAAGACCCTTTCCTGGAGACCATCGGTGTCTTAAAGTCCCCCACGCAAGTTTGCTAGTTTTAAACTCATGAGATGTTAAGTTTGTTCTACGTTGTCTTAGTTCTATGTTTTGGAGGGAAATGGCAACCCAGGGAACCTTGGGCGGGATGATCTATTATTGTCACAGGGAGGGACTTGTACCTTGAGAATGCCCACAGAAACTCAGCAAGTAACCAAGGAACATAAAGGAACAGCACAACAGCATTATTTAGTGGTGGTCTCTCTATGGCAGAGACATCGCTTTTTAGTCTCCTAGTTTCTAGAAAGGCTAAAGGCTTACAAAGAACCTAAAACTGGTCCAACCAACTCATTGTACACCTCCCACAGATTAATTTCTCACAAAAACATGGTTACCATGAAACTATGGCTTAATTTTCAACTCCTTAAGGCTACTCCATGGCCATGCTACTCCCTGGAAACACCTTCCAGGATTTGGCTCATGCAAAAGAGCCGGAGTTCGACTTCCAACAGCTCCAAGTGAGAACAACTCCCACAGCTCTGCAGAATATTAACGGTTCTCTAAAGAACAGGGCTTAGCTATAAATAAAAGAGTGCAGAAATCCTCAGCAGACCAACTTTGACAAGTAATTAAAATGAAAAGTTATGAACAGAGATGCCATTATGCTAAAAACCTAGAACTTATGATCAGGAAATAGTCGAGGTGTGTCAGGGGCCAGTGTTTATTTTTAATGCCCATGTGGGGGGCCAAGGTTAGCTTTGTCCTGAAACAATAGGTTGATCTACTTTTCTCCACATAAGGCTATTTCAAAGTCATATTTGAGCTGGATTATTTCATCCTCCCCCCCCCCCCCCCCACTCATATGAAGAGACTTTTTTTTTTAGGTATTAGTTAATTTTTTAAAAAGCATGTATAAATTTCTGATAGTGTAATTACAACATACTTGTTGGGGGAGTAAAATTATTCAATATTTACAAATCATATGTTGAAAGAACAGGGCTTTTAAAATGTCATTTTTATCCATCCAAATGGTTCTAGAATAAAATTAGGATACAAATGATTTCCACTTTTGGAGTGTTATGGAATATCATCTCACTCCCCTAAGAATATATTCTAGGTTCTTCTGAGCTCTGTGGACTGTCCTTCCTACAGACTGAGGTTCTGTGAGGGTCCACCTGCCACAACTCAACATACCCAGGTTGGGAGCAGCTCAGTTCTTTCCTTTGCTCACTTTGCTGATTCTCCTCTCCTTGGGACGGGGATGTGAGGAAAGTATCTGAGGCTTTCTGAACCTCACTTTCTCTACCTGCAAACCAGGAAAGTAACGGCTCCTTTTCAGACCCCATGAGGTCAACTAAGACCACTGATGCCATTACGTATGGAAAAGTGAAAAGCAGTGTGCGTGAGTGACTTCTTCCTGCTGTCACTCAAGGGCACTCAGCTAGGAAAAGAATCTCACCTTGAAACCAGACATTTCCACATCATAAGGCAAAAGAATGAAATCAATCACTTTCTACTAAAAAAAAAAAATACAGGCTAATTCTATGTTCACAGAAAGGAACTTCTCATCGTGTCAAGCTTTTACTCACTTTAGATTTTCTCTAACTTAAAGATGTCACTGGTGAATCGATTACTATTCAAACATCAGGTTGCAAAATGGCACCCATAGTTTGACACCATTCAATACGTGTGTGTGTGTGTGTGTGTGTGTGTGTGTGTGTGTGTGTGTGTGTAAAAATAGACAACCAACAAAATGTCCACAGTGGTTAGTTTTGCATTCTGTCTTCAGCTCAGGTTTTCTATACTGTGTGAGGGTAGAAGTAGTGTACTCATTGCAAACCTACGAAACTTGTACATGGAGACAAAACCCTCCCGGAGAGCTTCCTGCTCCTCACATGGTGCACACACAGTGTCACAAAGGAATGCAGGGCTGCCTGCATGTGCCAGGCTGCATACCCAGCGCCTCCTCCCTTAGACTGTGCACACCAGGTCTCCAGCCAATTCTGCTCTTCCCTGGAAAACAACCTGAACGGCTGCGACATACCTTGCAAATGAGCTCCAAGGTGTCCCTCGCAGTGTCCCCAGGCCGCACAACCGTCAAGGCTGGCTGATCATTGGGCAGACAGAACCAGGATGGAGTGAAATATTCATGGACCCAGATGTCACAGTCGGGATTGTGCTGGTGGACACTGGGTAGGACCACTTCCTTGTCCCTCTGTGGTAAGAAACACAGTGAGCAGGGTTGCAGCAGCCCCTGCCTGGCAATGTCAGAC